CAATGATGGCATCATGACCTACCAGGAGTGCTCATGAGTACTGGACAAAATGTTCACAGTTGAGTCCAGGTACACAAGTTTCTACTTAACCCACAATAATCCTTTAAGAATTAACTTCTAGTAATCAACAATCAACAACAATAATATACTGACACAATCCCAAAATATACCGACGTGGCAAAGATTTTTAAAACAGCTGGATTACCAAAACTTTGTTAAGCCTGTGGGGCACATTTCTAACATTTGCACTATAAGCCTGTATTTTATCATTGATTTGCTCCACAAACTAAGTATTATACTTCTATCAGGCTGATATGTGCCTACACCATTATAACTTTCATAGAAACTGTGATGAACATCTAGGGTGGCAACTTCAAAATTGTCACATACAGAAAACCCAGAAGCGCAACTTATTCCATTGAACCAGTCATCATCCAAAGTCAGTCTCAAATAAACTGCAACGCAGAGCTAGGTGCTCTTATATCATCATATTTTCTTCGGGAAAACACATGAGACCCACCTAAATAGCCCTTTATTCAAAAAAAGTCATTACTCTGAAATACTTTTTCTAAACTATCAATTGCAATTAATTAATTTTATTTATTACAACACCCAAACAGAAACCTTGTAATACCAATCATAACATACTACCCTACCAAGACATTTATGCAATAAATCTTTAATCAATTTGATTTACACTGGCAGAAGGAAATCATATCAGAATGATGCCTCCTAGCATTCAAATGCTACCAAGATTAACTAAACTCATCATTAAATGCAAATTCCCCAATGTCTGGAAAGCACCAAATTAATTGTGATTGAGTTAGAAATACAGATCTGCTATTATGCTTCCAAAATCTTGTGATAAATACTTGGAAAACTGACATTTTACTTTTGCATTTGCTGAAAAGTAGTTGACTTAATGCTGTGCTAACCTATAGCTAAGCAGACAAAAATGAAATTCCACAAAACAAATTCAACTAATCCATAAAACCTTAAAATCCTCCAGTAACATATGGGGGGACATCTTTGTGGTTAAATTACTTTTCAAAAATTGAGATAAAAATTAAAATTGATAGCTTTAATGTATACCAAACACCAAATACTCCATGGAAGAATTTCTGTTAGGACAGAACTTTCACTCTCTTTCATTAATTTATAATGTCTTCTTTTTCCCAAGTAAATAACACTCATAACCCTTCTTTCTGTCGGTTCCTCTTGCCAAAATTATCTTCATGACAGGTGAGAGCTATCTTTCCTTGGGGATAATCTGATGCACAGTCAATTACATCCAAAGCAATGGTCCATATATTGTATTCTGCATTTAAATTTGGTGCCTCTCTCAGACCTGAGAATGACTGCTGGATACAAGTCCTTTCTCTTACGTTTAAATATCAGAACTACAGACAGTCAATGATTTAAAATACACTATATTCCATTTCTTATTCAAGACTTGAATACTCTGGACAGGTTAATAATAAAGACTAGAAAGAAAGAGAAGGAAGAAAGGAAGAAGCGAAACAGAACAATTGAGAGAGACCGAAGGGGTCTGCTGGAACCACTGCTACAGCTATCTGTCCTTTTATACAGATTAGAAACCACTGGAAGAGTCTGAACAGCACAAAAAAAAGTGGGAAAGGACTACAACTACTTGTACAATTTGGACTTGGAGATTAAGGGAAACAGAAACTTCAACAAGTTATGCTTCTGTCTAGCCAGTTATTCCTAAGCAATACTACCTGATCAAAAATGAACTTTGTCTCAGTAGAGGTGAAGACTTGATATAGCTTTTTCTTAGAGTATTTCTCTTGTTTGAATGCTCTTTTTGCACATGTGAATGAGTCTATTATACAAGTTATTTTTGTGAAATAAGTGAAAAACACTTGGAATGGCAAAGGTGCAATCACCTTTATTTTCTGTTCTATTATTGGGCTGGATTGATTATTAGGTTTGTCAAGTCTTCTGTTATAATTTTTTTTATCAAAATAATCTGAGTAACTTCCTGACATATCCTGCTTTTGTCAGATGTGGCATTTGAAGACTCTCAGACAATTTGAGAAAATATGAAATGAATTTGGTCAAACTGACCTCAGATTAGAAACACTATTGTCAAAGCCAACAGTACCTTTCAGGTCTTCTTTCTTGTTTGATTTTATGATTTTATCTTATTTTATTTTCAAGCTCTGTAATATTTTTCAGAGTGAAAAAAAAAAAGATTCAAAGCTATATCTTTACCTTAGGGCAAAAATATCTAGTCACACATCTATGAATTTAATGGGGCTGCTATATGAGAGTAGAAGAAAATTAAAAATCGTGAAAGACAACTCTGGTTTATATGGAAGAAAATTAACAGTTTAAATTTCACTTTGGTGCATAATGAGTGGATAATTGACACTCTGGGGACCTTTACTATCTATAAAATCACACTTCTTAATAGAAAGAAAATTAAACACCACACCTTTTTAAGTGGTCCCAAAATATTAGCAGTCCTCATAAAACTAAACAGCTGGGAGGAAAAAAAAAAAAAAGGTCGGGAAAAGCAAGAATTATATTTTATGTATATAAATTGTACTTCAGAAAACCTGCATGCCTCTGAAATTATAAGATGTCCTTCAATATGTTTACTTAAGTTACCTGCAGTTCAGGTACCTTCAGTTCCAAACTGAATGGAAAAAAATATAGATTTTCTATGTAAGTATCGCATAGAACTGGTATTACAGAATAGATTCTTTTAAAATTATAGAATCCCTTTATATAGAATTCAAGATCATCTGCAGTCACTGCATTGCACACAGCACTGACAAATGTACTCACAGCAAGAGCTGCGTGACTTTCATTGTGTGCCTTGAATTCGTAGGCAATAGTTGAAGATGGAGATAGAATCCTGACTATTTCCTTTCCTGAAAAGCAGTCTACCAGAGCTGGAGTTTGGCATGTGTAATAGGAAATTTATTTCATAAAATGTTGTGGATGGACTGCTCAAACATTTCAGAAAAACCTGTTTACTTTATCTCAGTCCTTTAGGCCAAACATTATTCTCCTAGAGCTTTCTTTTTACATTATAGTAATCCTGCCAGTTCTCCTGACAAATCACAGAATCACAGAATGTTTAGAGATTGTAATGGACACCTTAAAGGTCATCTAGTCCCAAACACCTCTGCCATGGTCAGGGACACTTCCACTAAGCCAGGTTGCTCAGAGCCCCATCCAGCCTGGCCTTAAATACTTCTACCCTCACAGTAAAGAATTTCTTCCTAGTATCTAACCTAAATTTCCCGGTTTTCAATTTTCACCCTTAGTCCTTGTCCTGTCACTGCAGTTCCTCATGAAGAGTTCCTCTCCAGCTTCCCTGTAAACCCCCTTCAGATACTGGAAGGGAGCAGTGAGGTAATGCTGGTTCTGAGCAATCATTTGCTCTCTTAGTTTCCAGTACATTGTTCTAATCTTAACCCATCATTTTCACCTGCTGTGCCTCCAGTTCTCCTTTCCAGCCTGCCACAGCAGGAGGGGAAGGAGTAAGCAAGAGGTAGCATGGTTTGGAGAGTCTCAGTGGAAGCACTAAATTGGAGAGTAGCATTCCTAAATCACAACTTGGAAGAAGCAACCTACCTTTTCCTACATGACATAGCATATCAATTCTATTGACATTCCTTGCCATTGTTTTAGTCAAAAAGTAATCAATATTTCACAAGCTACTTGTTATTTCACCACTTACTCCCTTTTAAAAGAGAGGTTTTTTAAACAACAGTTGTCTATTTTCAAATTAAGATTCTACAAAGACGGATGATGACTTTATATCCATTTAGAACCAACATGGATCTTTCTTCTGGGTTCTTTTCATTCCATATCTTTATCTAAATCAATGCTCAGCTGAGTTGCTTTCACCTTTTAAGCAACACAGTTTAACAGTGTGTTTTAAGAAGGATGTCTCTTGCATATTTCTGGCTGAAACCATTTACCTGTTCTGCTATTAAGAAGCATGGCTGACCCATTATAGTTATCTGAACACAGATGTTTGGAAGCACATAAGGGATAAGCCTGTAGGTAAAGAGAAGGGACATCACTGCAAGAACAGTTGATGCAAACTAGTCTAAATCCTTACAAGAATTAAAACAATAATTCTTCAGACAGGTGGAATTGTTTTGTCCTTATAAATATATGTTGTTATATTTATATAGTAACTACAGACAGTTAAACATTTATAATTCATAATAGCTAAAGATTTATAATTCATAATATGAAATTTGAGACTATTTAAAGCACTGTGAGAGTTTTTATTACAGCACAATTGTTTGCATGCATGGTGATTTAAGAATTGCACTTCAGAAAGGTAGTAAATGTTACTGTACTAAAGTATGAAACCATAATATTCCCTCTACTACCAACAAAGGCTAAATTCATTCCATGAAATATCACAAGAAAAAAATTACGGGAGGAATAAATGTCTTCAACATGGAGGATCTTCAACTGTTTATTCTTAAACCTACCAGTTTTATTGTTTTAGCACTAATTTGATGTCTGTATCTGTTTTTAAGGCAAATTATGTCATTCATGCTTTAGCAAAGGTCTTTTTAGTAGGTATTTTTAATTTTTTTCTATTAAATATATCTTTAATTGCCACAAAAGAGTTGAATATTCTTTCTGCAACTGTCACTGTATTTTCTTCCCTCTTTCTAATTTTTTTTCACTTTCATAGAATATGGATACAGTAATTTCACAACTATAAGGCGCACCCTTTGGACAAAAATTTTCCCTCGAACCCAGAAGTGCGCCTTATAGTCTGGTACGCCTTATCTGAGGGACAAAGCGGCAAAAGTTACCAACCCGGAAGTGCAAGCCGCGAGGGGGAGTGGCCCCGCAGCAGGGCTGGGCTGTGAGGGGGAGTGGCAGTGGGGTTGTGCCGGACTGTGAGGAAGGAGTGGCCCCGCGGGGCTGTGCCGGGCTGGGAGGAGGGAGTGGCCCCGCAGCAATGTCGGGATGTGAGGGGAGAGGGGCTCCGCGGGGCAGGCCTGCCGGCATTGGGGCGTCCCCCGCGCGGGGGGAGGGAAAGCCGCCAGCATCAGGGCGGGCCCCGTGCAGCATCGGGGCGGCCCCTGCGCTGCATCAGGGCAGCCGCCCTGTGCAGGGGGGAAGGAAAGCCGCGGAATCAAGGCGGGCCCCATGCGGGGGGGAGGGAAAGCCACTGGCATCGGGATGGCCCTGGTGTAGCATCGGGGCAGGCCCCGCATGGCATCGGGGCAGCCCCGGTGCGGGGGGGGGGACGCCGCTGGAATCAGGGCGGTCGCTGCATGGGGTGGGGGGGCAAAGCTGCCGGAATTGGGGCGGCCCCAGCGCGGGGGCAGGGAAAGCCGCTGAAATTGGGGTGGGCCCGCTGACATCGAGGCGGCCCCAGCGCTGCATCGGGGCGGCCGCCGTGTGGCGGGGGAGGGAAGCCGCCAGAATCGAGGTGGTGGCCGCGTGGGAGGGGGCAAAGCTGCCGGAATCGGGGCAGACCCGCCGGCATCGGGGCAGCCCCGGCGTTGGTGGGGCGGAGAAGGCTGCTGTAACGGGGCAGCCGCCGCGTGGAGGAGGGGAAAGAGCCCCCGCAATTGGGGCAGCAGCATCACGGGGCCAGCCTGCCGGCATCGGGTCACTTGAAGTGCCAGGGGAGTCCTGGAGCGCACCAGCAGCACGCGGTTCCTGGTGCGCCAGGCGGGACACGTGACACCCGGAGCGCCAGGGAACTCCCGGAGCAGCGGGGCCCCACGGATGCTGCACGGAGTGGCGGCGGCCATGCCCCGGTCCCCGTGACGCCCCACGGAGCGGCAGCAGCCATGCCCCGGCCTCGGGGATACCCCACGGAGCGGCAGCGGCCATGCCCTGGCCCCGCAGACATCGCATGGAGCGGCAGTGGCCATGCCCTGTCCCCGGGACACCACACGGAGCGGCAGCGGCCGTGCCTCGGTCCCCGTGACGCCCTATGGAGCAGCAGCAGCCATGCCCCAGTCCCAGGGATGCCCCACGGAGTGGCGGTGGCCGTGCCATGGTCCCCGTGACGCCCCACGGAGCAGTGGCAGCCATGCCCCGGTCCCAGGGATGCCCCATGGAGTGGCGGTGGCCATGCCCCGTCCCCGGGGACGCCCCATGGAGCGGTGGTAGACATGCACAGGCTGGCCCAGGGGCCAATGGCTGACATGTTGAGGCGGGGCTTCGGCCAGCAACCGCGCAGGGGAGCTGGGGGTGGAGCCTCGCTGCAAAAGAAGGTGCGCCTTATAGTCCGGTGCGCCTTATCTGATCTACAATTTTGCGAATTTTGCTGACTCCTGGGGGGTGCGCCTTATAGTCCAGTGCGCCTTATGGTCATGAAATTACTGTACTTTTTGTTCCTTAGTCTGGGAAATGCAGCAGATTTAGGAAATATCAATAATGCCTTATTACTCTCACAGTGTTTTGTGTATATCTAGTTTCCAAGAATGGCATGACAATTACTTTCAGCAACACTTAAAAACAACAAACAACAAAATCCAGCTAAAATAAATTTTAAACTGTCAGAGTCATGTAAACAAATTTTCTGTTTTCATCCTCAAATTAGAAGACTAGACAAACAGGAGAATTATGTATATCGCAAATTCATGTAAAAATTAAGATGTTTCAGCATCCAACAACGGACAAATCAATCCCAGCCCATTATCCTTCACATAGCAAATCTTTTCTCTGTTGAAAGTAACAGGCCTCAGGAATTTTTGATAAGGCTGACACACCAAGAACATGATCCCATACATTATTACATCTAACAAAGTACTAAGGAAAAGCTAGAACAATCTTTAAAGTGGAAAAAAAAATAATGTTATGCTGTATTCAGCACTGGAAAAAAAAACTATACAGAAGGCTACTAAATTATTTAGAAAGAGTCACTGTGATATTAAAATGCCAAATGACATTTGTACCATTTTTGATTAAATATTACAGTAATTTCATGACAATAAGCCGCACCGTTTAACTAAAATTTTGCTCCCACACCGGAAATGCAGCTTACATTCAGGGGCGGTTAATATGTGAATAATTTTACGACATTTCCAACCCCTGAAGTGGAAACCGAGGTGCCAAGTCGAGCAATCTGCCAGTAAAAGACGGCATTTCGTGATTGTTACAAATTGTTACTCTGTTGTGCCATGGGTGGAGCAGGCTCCCTGCAGGCAGCACGGGGGGCGGGGGAGGTTACTCCTTCCCTCCTCTGCCACAGCCCGAGGGAGAGACGAGNGGGCCCCGTGCTGCCATCGCCTCGGCCCGTGGGGTAAGCGGGGGACTCCTGCCCCCGCCTACCACAGCAGGAGCAGGCAAACTCTGCCCCCACCCGCCGCTGCCACGGGAGCAGGGGTGGCTCCGTCCCCGCCCGCCGCTGCCCTGGGAGCAGGGGTGGCTCCGTCCCCGCCCGCCCACCTCCACGGGAGCAAGGGTGGCTCCGTCCCTGCCCACCACTGCTGCCACAGGAGCAGGGGTGGCTCCGTCCCCGCCCGCTGCCTCCACGGGAGCAGGGGTGGCTCTGTCCCCGCCCGCTGCCGCCATGGGAACGGGGGTGCTTTGTCCCTGCCCACTGCCGCAGGAGCTGGGGGGGGAGGCTACGTCCTGGCCCTGTCAGCAGCCCCGAGCGGGCCGAGCCTGTACAGCCTTAGCTGAGTCAGTAAACCCCCCGCCATGCCGCGATTCTGTTACTATTTGGCAACTTTGCTGCACGCGGGTCCTCGCTGTGAACGACAGAACGGCTTATATTCAGGTGCGGCTTATATAAGGACAAAAACGAAATGTTTGCCAACACCCAGAGATGCGGCTTATAGTCCGTGCGGCTTATATTCGTGAAATTACTGTACTCTGAATGTTTTTAAAAACTCCTCAGTGCTCTAGTTTTACAGAAAATTAGTAGGTGAAGGGAAAGGAAGGCTCTACAAAAGTGAGGTTTGAGCTGGTTTGATTTTCTCTTATAAAGAGAAAATATAAAGATTTTGGGTAGGTCAAACTGCTTCGTCCTCTCAGTGATTCTTCAGCCTACTATTTGACACAGGTGAGTTTTCTGTTTTATTAATAAAGCAAAGGAAAACACCAGAAGGAGACAAAATTGGCCCTTAGACCTTCCCAAGACAATAATCTTCTATCAGTAAGAGATAACCAAACCATTTAGAGATTCAGAAAAGTTATCTTATTTGGACATGAAACACGATGTTTTTGTGATGTTTGCCATGACGTGACTCTCCCACAGAAAAAAACCCAGTATTTTCTTATTTTTTATTCTCTGTTATTAAATAAGAGTGATTTTTCTCCTCACTATCACTAATGTCAGTCTCAAGTTTGTACGTTGTATAATTTTCACATATACACACACATATCCCGGAAAAAATTCCAAGGTAGCTTCACATTTTCATTTTCCTTCACAACTGTTGATGTTAAAGAATCATTCGTGGAACAAAACATACATCCACTTACTGTAGGGTTCTTTCAGCAGCAAAATCAGAAATAGATCTTGTCTGTCAAAAAGATTAACAGTATGTTCTTGCTTATTATTTTAAAAGTGGAGACTAAAATTTACATCTGAGGTGTTTAGGATACTATCATCTTCATTCCCTAATTCTGTCCTTGATAACAGTTTAGTTCTATTCAAAGCAAATGTGTTTCTTATTAAAGGAAGGTTCCTTAAAAAAAAAAATGAATTTCCAACACTACTTTTAAAATGAAAGCAGAGTCAAGATTCACATTTTCTTCACACTTTTACTGGTCTCTGTTGATAGTTAGGAATTATTCTTTCCCAGCTTTCTGGTTTACCTGCCAACACTTCAGATCAATGGAGTCTCACAATTGAGTTCATAGACCTTGGACTCCCTTTGCAGATTTTAAAGAGTGTAAGAATGTGCTCCATAACTGTATCTATTGGCCAACCTGAGCATTATATCGGAAACGCCTAGATACGCCTGGCAGACAAAGATGGAGCAGGGGTGCAGAAGTCCTGTTGCATTCACATTAGACATAGGAATTCTCCCTAGCTAGATACCATCATTCTTGACTCTGGAATTCAACAGATGCTGTCAGCAGCTTGGAGCAGGTTCAGGAAACAGGCTGGAGAATAGTTGAAGGACTGAAAAATAAATATTATGCCAGAACTTAAAGGGCTTAATGTAAGAAAGAGAGAGTTAAATTATTACATGATCACCTGTTATGAACTCCGGTGTCTTCCTTAGATGGGTTAGTAGAGATTACTGCACCTTGCCACACAAAGATATAAACATGGAAAGGGGTAGGGACAGGGCCAAAGAAACCCACAAAAGGTGAAAAAAAAGTACAAAAGCAAGACAGGTTCAGATTAAAGAGACAAATGTAACAATAAATACAAAGGATCCCTGAAAGAACTTACTGAACTCAAGATAAATCACTTGAAATTCTTCATCAGTACAGTGGAGTTTTCCTAAGGTAGGATCTACATTAATGCAGATATTGGAATCAGAAATGAAAAAATAATTCCAGGAAATGCTGTTGTCTGTGACACTGCCACATGAAATCAATTGCAATGACAAAAAAATTACGGTAATGATTTTCTGAAGCTGGTAAAATCTTTCTTCTATTGATTTTACTGCATTTCATATGAATAAAATAGGATTTTTACACTGATACTACATCTTTTGCAATACTGACAGACACATTTTGTATTGCAAATTTATTTAATAATTTTGGAATCCAATCATAAATAAATCCTGTTAAATAAAGATAATTTACTTCTAGATTCTAAATGTTCCTTATCAATTAGAAGTAAAATATTTGTATACAATTTATTTTTCTGTGTAGTTAAACAACAAACAGTCTGATATGGTTTGCGTAGAGAATAACTTTTAAAATGTGGGGAAATATTTTTGTTTCTTTCAAGTTTATTTTTATAACATTAAATCTTGTCAGACTTGGAATGCCACATGAGAATCATCTTTCTGGTCTTAAATGATATTAACATTTTTCTCTGTTCAGTAAGTCAAAATATCCTTTCAATACAATATGGAAATACATATTTGTGACTCCTACTTTTTTAATGTATTAAATAACCCCATTGTTATTTTCACACAAAAAAAACCACTTTTATGT